CTCTCTCTCTCTCTCTCTCTCTCTCTCTCTCTCTCTCTCTCGCTCTCTCTCTCGCTCACCCTGTGTGGCACCCGCGGGGCCATCGGGCGCGGGGCTGCGGCAGGGCGTGGTGGGGCTGGGGGACAGGCTGTGCGTGGGCGAGCCGGGGAGGCTCTCGCTGGAGGACAGAGAGTGGTGGAGGCCGGAGGAGAAGCTGCGGCTGGACGGCAGGACGGACGTCTGCTTGGAGATTTTCTTAAACAGTGACTTCCTCCTGGGGAGAAGGGGTGGTGGCCTGGTGAGGGGCTGGTGGCGGGGTCTGGGGTACAGGGATGTGGGGGACACCCCGAGCCCAGCCCCGGGGTCTCACCGGTCCTGCGTGTCCCGCCGCCGGCTGCGCTTGCCCCTGCGTGCCAGGCGGCCCTTGGCCAGGCTCCTGCGGGCCGGCCCCACCTTGATGGACGTGTTCTCCAGGGCCGTGGTGCGTAGGGCCAGCTTGCTGCCGCTCTGTGGGGGGACAGCGGGGTCACTCTGGGGTCCCCCAGGTCACAACACCCACCTGCCTGGACCCTGGGCCCATCCAGCCCTCTCTCTCTGGTTTTTGGCTGCAGCAGGATTTGAACTCGGGACCCTGTTCCCAAGCTGGGCCGCAGCCCTGTGTGTCCACCAGCAGCAGCGTCCATGCTCACTGAGCCAAGGAAGGCACCCGCCATGTGTCCCCCACTCCACTGCCCAGTGTGCCATGGTCCCCAGAGCCACCGGCGCCAGGGGACGCCTGGGTTCAGGATGGGGGACACGCAGGGCCACCTCTGGGGACAGGGCGGCGTCACCTTGAGCAGCAGCTCCACGACGTCCATGTGCACCAGGCCCAGGATGGACTCGCCATTGACGTGGGTGACCAGGTCCCCGGCGCGCAGCCCGGCCTCCTGTGCGGGGCTCCCGTCCTCCACGCTCTGCGGGACACGGGGGAAACGGGGGACAGAGGGGTCAGAGCCTCGATCCTGGCGTCTGCACACGTGCTGAGCTGCCCTGCCTCAGTTTCCCCTCCTGCAGAACTGATGAAGAACAAGGCACCCCAGCCTGGCCCCTAAATGTGAGCCTGGACTCGAACCCACATCCCGGCTGTCCAGCCTCACCCAGACAACGTGGTGCACGGTGTAGACGTCGCTGTCGCCCATGTAGACCCGGATGGCCCTCAGGCTGAAGCCGTATTTCTTGCCTGAGCTGTGGATGACCACGGGGGGACGCAGGCTGCCGCACACGGGGGACGGGTCCCGGCTTGGGGATGAGTCTCGGGAGGATGGGTTGGAGGACAGTGAGCGAGGGGACAGGGGGCTCATGAGGGGGCCACCGCTGCCATCATCTGCGGGGAACCAGGAGGGGTCGTGGTCATGTCCTATGGCTGCATGCTGACCACTGGCCTCCCCGTGTCTCCCCGGCCTCAGGGCCTTTGCACACACCCAGCAAGCCCCGCCCCCAGCTGGAGGCCACGCCCACCCAAAGGCGTGTCCGTCTAGCTGAAGCCACACCCACCCGGTGGAAGCCAAACACAGCAAGTCTAAAGCCCCACCCCATGCCGAGGCCACGCCCACCCGGCTTAAGCCACGCCCACCACGCCCAAGCACCGCCCCAGGAGCAAGTCACGCGCACCACGTCAAAGCCACGCCCACCTGCCCGAGGCCACGCCCCACCTCCGTTACCATGGATGCGGAGGATGGCGGGATGGCCTAGGTTACCTGCCGTGATGATGAGTGACAGGGCAGACACCGAGGCCGACTTGGGCACGCGTCCCCCGCTGCTGGCGTTGGTGCCACTGCCACTGGGGGACACCCTGCACTTCTCGGGGCCCCCCAGGCGGCGACCCCGGCCGGCGTCCAGGGCCCGAGGTGTGGAGTGTCGCGCACCAGTGCTGTTGCTCCGCAGACGGGCATGGCTGAGGGCCGTGTCAGCTGTGGGAAACCAGGGTCAGCGTGTCCCCCTCCATCCCACCAGGTGTTCTCCATCCCAACCCTATGAAGTTTTCTGAGGCCTCTCTGCATGCATTTGCATGGAGAACTCCTACTTAACCTTCAAAACCCATCTCAAATAGCCCTTCCCCTGGGAACCGACCCTGTTGCACTGACCCTGCACCCCCCCCAGAAGCCCCACCTACCAGAAAGGCTGGAGGGCTTGGGTGTGACGGGGGTGGTGGGCGGAGGGGGGTCGGGATCCCCCAGAATGAACACCGGCTTCTTGGAGTCCACCGGGCCTGGGCTGGGCCTCTCGTCCTCGGAAGAGAAGGCAAACCTGGGCATGGCGTCCAGGCTGACAGTGCTCAGGAGAGAAGGGCTGGGTCCCCGCTCGGGCTGAGACGAGGCTGAGTGACAGGAGGAGCCAGAGGACGTCCAGGACCTCAGCCTGCAGGGAGGAGGAGCCTGGTCACTCTGGGCAGGCAGCTTCCAGCCATATCTCCACAGAGGCGTGTCTGTGTGGAGAACTCCTATTCGGTCCTCAAAACCCACCTTCCGATGTGTGGCCCTTGGGTCTGGGCTTTGAAGGATTGGTAAGAGTTTGTTAGCAGAAGAAGCAGTGACGCTGCTTTACATCCACCATGCCTCCCAGTGAAAATGCGTGACCCTTTTCCACTGGGCTACCGGGAAGCTCCTTCACCCTCACAGTTCAAGTGGACACGAGCTTGGATCTGGCCAGTGCCCCTGGTCCACCTACCGGACCTCGGTGCTCAGCCGGTGGCCACCGTCCCCTTCACTGCTGTGGTCCCACGCCTCCTCCCGGTCCTCACTGTAGCTCCTCTCAGCAAAGGTAGGGGTGGGCTGGACAGCCAGGAACTCGGAGCTGCTGTACACCTGGGGTACACGAAATGCTACAGGTGGGGAGGGGTCCCCCGTCCTCGGGAGGCTGGTCACGTACAGAGAAGCCGAGGCCTGGATAACCGGGCATGGCAGCTGTGTACCCACGGTCACCATCAGCGAATGAAGGGACAGGACACGCACTGGAATATTACCCAGCCATGAAAAAGGAAGGGAGCCATGACACAGGCCACACAGTGGTGTGGACAGGAAGCAGCCAGGGGCTGCGGGAGGGGACAGGACTTGTGGGGGGCATGGAATGTTCTGACATGGTGGAAACGGTGTTTTGTTTTTTTTTT